GAAGCAGTCTGGACAACTGCGGAGAGCGAAACAGCCTTGTTCGTTAATGGAGAGCGTAGAGAGAGGGAAGAGGGAGAGAGAAACACACACATACACACACACACAGAGAGAGAGAGAGGGGGGGGGGGAGGGGAGAGGGAGAGAGAGAGAAAGAGAGAGAGAGAGAGACTCGAGAGCAGATGTGTGGTCACTGCCACAATGCCCAATGCTGGGCAACGTGTCAGCCCTAGATATCAACGTTACTGGGTAAGAGTTGATGCACCCGCTAAGCATCATGGTCAACGTCTGTCTTGGAGACCCCGGCTCATGTTCACATGCATTACCTTTGTCTGTGCTATGCAATACCACACAGCACCTACCCAGTAAGCAAACACAATCACGCAATCATGGGGGCACATCTCAAATAGGAACAAGAGTATCTATTGTACATTGCAATCGCGAGCCGACCTACTTGGACCTACTTGGACCTACCGCGGGATTCCCAATGCGGCCGCTTGTGCTTGCGTTTCCCTTTGCCAAACCCTTGATCATCATCTTCCGTCTGTGTCGCCGATTCCTCTCCCCTCCCCTTGGGCGCCTTTGTGTAGTAACGTTTGGTAGGTTCGAGAGGAGGTAGCATGCCGTCGCTCTCCTTCCTATTTTTCTCCCACTGCTCATGTGCCCGTCGAATTTCCCGTATGTCGGCTGGGTCGAGGTTCTTGTACCCTTCGAGTGCCTCTTTTGCTAACGACGACTCTTCCCCTTCAGAGAACCATGCGGCCACGCCTTTCCTATCTCTGGTATACCCCGCCATTGCCTGCGCCTTGGGCAATCCAGAGTCGGGAGAATAGTCCGTCAGTCCCTCGTCCGCTAGCTGCTGTCGCATGAATTTAGGCAGCTGAGACTGCCTGCCCAAGGATGTCGACTTTTGTACACCCTTCTTCACCTTCCACAGCCGTTCATTCAAGTCCACGGTAGGCATGACATTGGCCGCCAAAGAGATGACAAACTGTACAATGTAGCCATCTGTGACCGGGTCAATCAGAAACATAGCCCCCTTGGGCATGGACTTGAGGATGAAGTCTGGCCGTAGATGTGGCCAGTGATCGTGCATCCACCGCCAGTTCTCTATAGGCCCAGCTTTCTGCTTCTCCATCTTGTTCGTGCTGCCTCGGAGGCGAATGCGGAATTCGACAGGCGAGCCAGCCTCGATGAATTGGTAGGCGCGGTCCATGCAGATTTTAAAGTACGCAGACGGGCTGCTCAAGCGTACCATGACGCACTTGAGCTCGCCTAATTGCTTCCCCCTGGTCGGGCGGAGAGTGATCTCTTTGGAGCCTTGCTTGATACACGAGTATGGCTCCATAACGGCGTAATTTCGATATTCCTGGGCCTTGTCCTCCGTCCGTAACCGCTCCAAGTTGTCGCCCACGGCCTTGCCTATGTTGTGTGCGAGATAGAGCATCTTCCCAGGCTGCACATGCTCATCGTAGAGTTCCTGCAGGGAGAGGTCTGCAGCGACCACAGTCTGGTTCTGATCACTCTTCACCAGGTTCACCTTGTGCGTTGAACGACTCAGTCCTGCAACCTCATACGGAGAGAATGTCAACAGCTTGTGCTGTCCGAGCAATGTCTTCGATCGGGCAGTCTTGTAGAGATGTAGAGCACGACATGGAGAGAGGAGCGACGGCGTAGGCGTGACCCGACGAGTGGCCGAGGGGGCGCTTGGCGGGCGAAACACGGATTGAAAAGTGCAAAGAGAGACTCGGACGGGTGGAAGCAAGAGCGATCGAAATTCGACGGTACTTGTGCGCAGTTTGGGTGGCATGGCTGCTGTGAAGGGAGATTGATGTATATGCGGTTTTGTGTCGATGGAAATTCTCTCCAAATCGTTCCGAAGCCTGACTCGTTGAGCGCCCAGACAACGCGTCCTCCTGACTCGACGCGTCCCGCTCCTGGAAGCTGACCTCTACTCCTCCTCCTCTCCACTCGCTGTGCCACGCCTCACGCTTCCCTCGTTCTACCTTAAAAAAAAACTCCTTGATCCGTAATGAGACTATCTAGACCAAATATTGGGTTTGCAAGGCAGGAGTATGTGCACTATGCAGGGGTAAATGCGAGGATGGTTTGTACAGGCAATCATCTGGCTCACATGGCATTTCGTTAATACCCCATGCTGTCGTTGAACCCAAACGATGAACATGAGGATCGTATTGCGCCATGTACGATTGCAGAATTCACTAGATACGGGACTACTCTTTGATTTGACAGTCAAAATGGTCTTTAAAACGAGCTTTGCCGATTGGTTGCATCGTGGCCATAGATCCAACACACAAACGTCAAACGTCAGAACAGCGTTGTCAATCATCTACTTAAGCTACAAAATACCCCGATGTGTCATTCCACTATAGATTCTAATTTCTTGGGCCCTGAAATCATGCAGATTAGATTGGTCATCACGGCACTCATCTCCCTCAGTAGCAGTCTTCCCTTCCAAGGCGTCACGCGTGACTTGTGGGCTTGTTCACAAGGCGGGAACGCAGGTGCCTATTACACTTGCCCAGCCCCAGACTTCCAGCGCACCGCTACCACTGAATGTGGATACTTCAAGCCTGGGGGCTGGCGTCGCCCTTGTAGGAACTGGGGTCCAAACGCTGCAGATCGTCCCAGATCCATTGGCCCAGATGTCGGTGGCTCTTGTTTGTTCTATAAGACGCTCGACTGTAGTGGTGAGCCGGTTGTACCGATCGAAAGGCCAGCGAGCTCAAGAGGGAGAAGGTAAGTTACTTTAGATGTGGGTTGAAGTTGAGAGTGAGAGAGAGGTGCTGATGGCACAAAGGCTTTATTGTCCTGGTATCATGAATACCCAGGGAGCAGAGTGGTTCGGGAGCATGATCTGTACTGTTCCGCTACAGAACTGGCATCATCCCGATGAATGAACTTATCATTTCTTGGAGGGACCATAGAGACTCAGCTAAAGATGATCATAGATAGGACAGATCTGCTGGTTTACACGGGACATCCGGTGGTTACATCTTCAGTATTGAGATAGAGGTAGTCGTCAATAGTTACCGTGAACTCTCGGCAGACATTTTGTACCCGAATACAAAGATATTTGAAAACTTTTGCTTTTTTTATCTCGGCGTAGGATCAATGTGCTCCCTAGGACGTA